AGGTAGAAGAACTCTATGAAGCTTACTGTATCCAGTGCAGACTACGAGATGGGGCCACTAATATGAAACATGCCTTTTCCTTGTCTCCTTCCACCAAAGCCTCCAGGGAGAGCCTAGTGGAGCTTTACAAGAACTTCCAAGAGTGCACAGAGGTAGGAAATACTACACACATGTAATGAAGACAGGACTGTTGTTAGCAAAAAATGTACTAGGACTTGCTGCTGGCTTTTTTTTAACGGTGCAGGTTAAAAACTTAACATGTGAATGAAATACAGGTACATAATGTGAACTGAAGCTTCTGAGATAAATACCTTACAGGCAAAGCTCTTGAATTCTGTGCCCTTTTTTGCCCCTGCTGAGCTTGGCTTCATGCATTCATGAAGGCAAATCAAAAATCATTTGAATTTCTGCTTTAATACTGGCGTCCATTATGACTTCCCCTGGAAGTACTGGGATGCAAATTGAATAATGAATAAGCTATGCTATTTTTACAAAACAAGCAGTGGAAGGTAACTGACGGTGATCTGCTCAAGCAGTTCCACTCTTCTGTGGAGTGGCATCATAATTTTCTGTCTTAAAAGTAGTATGAATGGACTCTGTATCCACCTCCGCTAGTGAAAATGTTAGTGTGTGTCCTTTTAAAAAAAAAAAAGCCAAAGTCCCTTAAAGAAAATGGCAGGTATTGGGAAGGTAGCTACTCTGCGCTGCTTTTCAGTCATAGTGACTGTTCAGTCTTCCTTCTAGGACATGTGCTTTATAGAAGGGGCACTGGAGGTCCATTTGGGAGAGTTCCACTTGAAGATGAAAGGTATGTTCCTTTCTCATTTCCTTCAAGACTCACCAATTGATTTTGAGTTTCCTGTGTAGCAATCTGATCCACTGAGAGTCCGTTTATTCAATGTCAGTTGCTTCCATTGGCTTTCTGGATTAGACACTGAGCAGAATTTTGGCAAACTTCTGTTTGCTTCAGCACTGTAAAACAGATCTTCAATGGTATTTTATATTTCAGTACAAAAGCTGACAAGCCTTCTTTCCTCAGCTCAATTAAAGTTTGGTCTTCTAAGAGTGTTTTGGGCTGGTGGCATAGCTTCTGCACAGAGTTGGGCACAAGGGGGTGTTAGCCAGATAGTCACTTTATTCCAAGCTGAGGCTTTGGGGGACACTGTAAAAACTCTACAAGTATTAGGATTTTTCCTTCTCTTTTCAGGGTTGGTGGGCTTTGCACGTCTCTGCCCGGGGGACCAATATGAGGTGCAGTATACAGCAATTCATTTTGTCCTTTATTTTACTGCTGTGAGTTTGCAGTAGAGGAACAGGAGAGCAAGGGTGCAACATGTAGAAGGCGAGCAGGAAACAGATTATGATAAAACCACGTGCTGTTCTGATGAGAACAGTTCTTTGGCACATTCACTGGTCACTCTGCCCTCTGAGACTGAAGAGGGAAGAGCTGATTCCAGTGTTATGGGAGGGTTTAAAAGACGGCAGTGATTTCCTGTCAAAACCAACCTGTCAGGTCTTTGTCTTCAAAGTTGCCCTGGAATCAAGTAATAGTTGCTGCCTGTTTCTTGGAAGATTGCCCTTGGCATGCTTTGAATGCATCTTAGTATCTTACTGAGTTGTTCTTCTACTTCTAACAGTTCCAAATGAATTCCAGTGTGCCTTGTATTTCATTGCTATGCAATGTCATTTTGCAGTTCCTCTAGAATGGGTGGGATGTGTAATTTGGCACTGAGTTAAGGTGTTAAAACCTGCAACCTGAATTCCTGCCTCCAATCTTCTAGCTTTATCCAAGTTTCTAAATGTATAGTGATCAAAGGAATGGCTTTGCCTCTGTGGTACTGGAACAGTGCGAGGCCTACGGACTGAAGGGAACATTCTGGGATATGTTGGTCCAACATCCTTTTTTTCTTCATGGTTTCTAGGTGTTTGTGCGACTGGGGCGCCAAAAATGGAGGTTGAAAGGCAAGATTGAGAGCGATGACAGCCAAACATGGGATGAGGAAGAAAAGATTTTTATACCCAATCTCCACGAGAAGTTTGAAATCAAGGTGTGGTGTATAATGGTTGGATTGGAATCAGTGGGTTAACACGTCTTCTGCCATACTACTTACCTGTTAGGTTACCAGGTGTTTGTCAAAATTCTTAAGGAGTTTTCTTTTCCTAGCCATGTAAAAATGGCAGTTAATGTTCTGCCTACTGAATGGACATCTACTTCTGTTTTTCCTGTACTCCTGGCACTCGTAACTGTACTATTGCATCTGCATTCCCATGTTCTGCAGTCTGGTGTATGTGGTTGGTGTTGTGGCTTTGTTTGGGGGGTTTTTTGTTTGTTGTTTTTGTTTTTTTCAAAAAGTCCTAGATCAATATCTGGGACTTTCTAGGGTGAAGTCTAGATGTGGAGACAAAAAGATGTGTATGTAGATATTATTTATATCACCCATGTGGAATATTAAGTACCTGGAGTTCTGTTCTCTATTGAAAAAGAAATATGTATATGGAAAACATATCATTGCACGTGTGTGTGTTTTGAATGTGTAGTTCAAGTGTTCCTTTGTCTGGGTGCACTGCAGATTCTTTTGTCATGTTTTACTCCAGAGATGCTCCATATCTGCCAAGAACCAATGGCATTTATATGCTGGTACAAACTGTCTGTACTTTATATCTTTATTTAGAGCTCTGACACTTTTTAAAGTCCCTCAGAAGAGTTCATATCTTTAACAGTAAGGGACCCATGCTAGTGGCCTGTGATCTGTAGATGACACATTGTGGGTACCCCTTGGGGGCAGCTTGTAGTTTTCATAGACCCTTGTGTAGCTGCCACTGGCAGTGGTTCTGGCACTTACCTAGCAGGTGGAGTTAATCCTTAAACAGCATTTCCACTGTAGTCTGGCATCTTTCATGGGCTGGACTCTGCAGGATGACTCCTGTCAACCTGAAAGGAGCTGAGACCGAAGGCTGTGCTGGATCCTGTTCTACTAGGAGACTGTGCCAGTGCAGGGTTTCAACTTTTGGCAGCTGTGTTAAAGCAGCTATTGCAATGTTCCCCTCCTATCTGGCAGCAAGAACTGGGTTACACAGGAGAGACACTTTGGCATCTTGCCAGCACAGCCTTTGGAAATGTGCTTATGCATTTTTTTTGCTGCCACTGCACATTGAAGATCAGGTGAGAGGCTAATTCGGATCCCCTTTTTTCCCCATAATAGTTGTAAAAACTTGAATTACTTTGTATGACAATGATAGTTTTACTCTTTTTGTCAGCTTATGAAAGTCTACTGACTAATGTTCTCCACATCCTCCTGCTCTTTCCACTTTGCACTTAATAATCTTTGCCCAGTACAAATACATAGCAGGTTTAAAAAAAAAAATTAAAAAATTGAGAAGTGCCAAAGAGTGTTCCAAGAGGAGCCTAGCAACATAGCTTTTGCTAGCTCTTAAAGGAGATGTAGGCATGTAACTAATTCCAGAAGTGGACCTTAGGCACTTGTGCTAAAATTCTGTGCTGAGTCTGATGCTTTATGCGCTTCTAGAACAATTTGATCTTCAATTAGAAGTATGTTTTTATAGCAAGTGTTTGATTAGATTTTTTTTTTTTCTTTTATGTAGCTGAAGAAGCAAAATGCCAGCCTGGGACAAATCCAGGCGTGTAACTGCATTGATAACAAACTTGGAGCCACCTGCAGGGCTAGAGGAAAGAACTGACATTTACAGGTTCTGATGTTGGTCCGCAGCTGAGCTCAGGACAGTTAGAAAGGTCACAGTGGATGCAGCTGTGCTTCCAGATCCTTTAGGCAATTGAGAGCTGAAATAGTCTAGTGTAGGCAGGCTAATCTACTTCTCTGTAATATATATTTTTGACAGTGTTGTTCTAATATCTGGACAAGCTAGACTCTGTACTATAAATGACAACTACTTGTATGTATATCAAAGCTAGAATTTTGAAATTTCAGCCTAATTTTTCTTAAAATCATAGTCTACCAAATTCTGTTATCAGAAGTGCTGTACAGCTCTGTCTCTCCCCAACTCATACAACTCCTTTCCTCTTTGCTAGCCATCTATGACATATTCCTTGTGGGCATACTGACTCACAAGAGCCTGGAATTGAGTATCAAGGTTTTAAGTTTGTTGTGGGCCTCAGAGCAGATCTGAGCCCGGGGCGTGCTCCTTTCCATGCACATGACTTAGGATTGTCTGGTAAGATGAAAATGGATATGTTTGTCTGTCCCTGCAGGTAACAGAGCTGCGAGGACTGGCCACTATTCTCGTTGGTGTTGTGACATGCGACAACATAAACTTCTTTACAACCAAGCCTCAGGCAATCATTGTGGATATAACTGAACTGGGCACCATCAAGCTACAGCTGGAGGTCCTCTGGAAGTAAGTACAGCTTCAGATGAAAAAAGCTGGAGCTAAACATTTGAAATAAATTAAAGGCTCCTAAGTATGTCACTTAGTAGCATTCAACATCATAGTCCTCTTTCTATTTGTAGAGTAGGCGCAGGATAGATAGCGGCCACATGCTTCGTCACAGCAACCCCAGCCACTGTGCCTGATCTCTGACTCTGTGGGACCAGTCCTCAGGAAAGGGAGGGGGAAAGGGACAGAAACCATTTCTGTGACCCTTCAGTTCTTTGTGTTGATGTTACCAGAGCCATGGCTAGCCACGTGGACTGACTAGTAGGCTTTTACTTAGCTTACTGCTCTTCAGAATGAGCATTCAAGTCTAGCTCCAAGCAACGTATGTACATCTATAAAACATGAACAATAATCTTAAAGATGATGAAATGCAACTGAAAATAGCAGTTTCTAGGCACAATGACAAAAAATATAGCTGAAATTTTAGGACAATCACTATTACCAGGCCACAAATTGTTAAAAAAGAAGCTTTCCCAAAGACTTAGCACCTTCCTGTTTCACTGTGCTTACAGTTATCAATATCCTGTTTGTGCACTACAGGGAAGCTTGGTTACAGATGCACTTTTAAAATAGCTGAGTATTTTCATGGTGTCTGTGATTTGTTAAATTGATTTATAATTTAAATCTGTAAATTAATTTTTGTAGTGGATTACTGATGTTATTAAAAGCAAATTCTCATTTTTGTGGATGCTGCACTGGAACTTCTTCACTCTAGACACAGCACCGTAGATTTTTGAGGTAGTACTGTTATTTCTGCTTTATGGGACTGTCAGTCTATACTGACAGTTTGTCTGCAACAAATCAAAACTTTTTAATCTGTTTCCATTTACTATTGTCCAGGGGTTAAATCTAGCCATCTTGGTGAAATGCTGAATTAAACAATGGGCGCTCTTCACTTGTACTTTTGTATATGGCTTACTGCGGTCCTCAGTTCTTCCCAACCCAACATGGCAAAGAGGCATTTGAACACACCTCCATGATAAGGACCTTCTTGAAAGGCCACTTTGTGATGACTTGTGGATCTAGGCTCTCTCCAGGAAAAGCAGAAACTGAACAACGTTTAGATTAGGAAGGGCAGGGAGCTACGCCTTGCAGGCCAGACTCACCTATGACTCAGCCTTACACAACTCTTCTTCTCTGGCCATGCTGGCTTCTTGTTTTCTTAAAAATTACCCCAAAATAAAGCTTGTATGTGTTGAATGTATGGTCTGCCAAACGTGCCCAAAAACTAAACAGATCTCTTGGTAAGAGAAAAGTTTCCCTGCCCTTAGGGTGAAGTAACCAAATGTATTTTACAATCAGACTTGATTTTACAGGTCTTAATACCCTGTTTCTACTTTTAATTACCTTTGGAAGCATTGTTTGACTTTAAACCTTATCACAGTCTTTTAAGCCACCAACAGGAGAAATGCCACAAAGGTTTTCTGTTGCAATTCCCATTCAAGTGTTGATAAACAGTTTTGAGGCTGCATTTCTGGGCTCGAGGAAAGAAAAGCTTTATTAATCAACGTACTATTTTCTGAATGTCTTGTGTATGCTGTGGTTCTTGAAATTTACTGTTGACTTGTACATGCAGTTGGGCTGAAAAATGAGTCTTGGCAACAGCATCTGAAAATTACTTTCAAATGCACATGTTGCTCTAAGTCAATGAGAAATAAACTCGCACAGCAGAGTTTGCCCGCACCTGTTGTTTATGACACTTTTTCCTCCTGAGATCTAACCATGGGCATCAGTATGTGTTTTGTTTTGGTGAGATGCTGCAGCTGCTCTGAGACTTTTGAGGCCTCTGTTTCTTATTTGAGAAGCTGAGCCACTAATTAGTTGGATGACAAAGCCTCATTCCAGAAACTTGCTGTGATCTTGCATTATATGCCCTATGAAACATCCTCTTACTCATGCCAAGTTACGTATGTATTCCCATTTGTATCTGAAAGCAGGGACATTCATGGTAGAGTTATTGAAAACTCTGTGGAGTGGGGATGGTGCAAGTTGCATTATTTTTTTTGTAAAAGCAGCTCTTAAAATGACAGCCCTTTTAAATGAAGGCCAATTACAATATTCCATTGTTTTGACATTCGCATATCTTAGTATTGGGGAAGGAAGGAGAGAAGAGCAGCATAGGAGGATATATGGGCTCTCGTACATCCCCAGCAAAGTCGGATGCCTTTATTTGTCATCTCTCATCCTGAAAAAACACACGCCACCAAAACTTGCATTGGGTTTAATCTGGATGTAAAATGATCAAAAGCTCTGGTCACAGTTTCAGAGCAGAAGGGGCTGCAGAGGGAACACTCTGCTTGCAGAGATGCTTTTCTTGCAAGTGCAGTCCCTTTTCCCCTGACTTCAAGCCTAACATCTTAAGAAGCTTCACTTGTGCAGTGAAGGAGACATACTTTCTTTATTGAACTGGGTATAAAATCTGCTTTTGTCCTAATATGGGAAGTGCTGTACTGAGAGATGGCACGTTCATAGTGGAGTCTGGAAGAAATCACTTCTACTTTCTTCTTGTTAACGCACACAAATGGCATCTAACAGATTCACTTAATTTACTTTTGCTGGATCTACTTGCTTGCCTTTCCTTGCTGTCAATAACTTGCATAAATAATTATGCACATAAGTTGTATGAGGAAAACACCTCCCTGTTCTGGGATATTGTATAGCTTCTCAGATAATAGCCTAAATCTCCAAAGCAAATGATACTTGTGACTAAATTTTCTCAAAAAATTGACACTTGATTGTTGCAGTAGCTCACAGCTCAAAGTGCAGCTTTTGGTTGGCAAGATGAGCACTTCTATGGTGCTTGGGAGAACCATCACCCAGCTTTTAGAGTTGGCAACAGCTGAGCTGGGAGCAGAGCTAGTGGTGACGCATTTTCTTTGGGAGTTAATCCCCACTTGGAATTTTTCAGCGTCTGAGAAAACTCCAGCTGTGTGTCTCTGCTGTGTTTAAGTTTTGTGAAATGCGTTGGTATCCTACCAAGTGGATTCTCCAGAGCGCTTCTGCACAGAACTGGCAGGCTCCTCCTCTTTGACAGCCTGTTTGCTGAAGTTGTTTACAGGAAAGAGAAGTTGTGTGGTGATAACTAAGGGTATTTCTGTTTTCAAAGACAGCACTCAAAATAACAGCTGCTTTTTTTCTCTGATTTGAGAATGACTAAACAAATCCAGCTGATTTGCCCAAGCTTCCCTGAGAGGCAAGCTTTCAGTCTAGACCTGCTTGGTGAGAAACCCAAATGTAGATCACTCTTCCACTTCTAAATGTGTATTTTCTTTAAATAGGCCACTAGTCTTCTGGGCTCTAACAAAAGTTCCTTCAACTCCTTTATAGATTATGCCATGAGGAGCTTGGGCCTGTTGCAGAACGGCTTTGTTGGACAGTTTGGCAGAAGACTTTGGTTTTTTTGCCAACCTAAACAGCAGCCTGAATTCTGTCTCTCACATGAAGGACAAAGAGAAAGCCTGTATTCTCTTTTCAGAACTTCAGTTAGCACCCCGTACTGGGATCTAAGGGTATGAGCCAGCCAGAACCACTCTTGTGATTTCTGCCCACTTTGAGCCTGTGCTGGCCTGGCTCACAAGGGTTCGGGGAGTAGGAGAAAAACCTTAAGGGAGAATAAAAAAGGGAAGTCTGTTTTTTGGATACATACCTACTGACAGTCTTGCTCTTATAGATGAAAGCTTCCATGAATAAGTGGTTACTCATGCAGGTATCTTTAGGCAGTAGTCTGTCAATGCATCTCTGCTTTTGATGGAAGTGCTGTTTCATAGCTTAGCCTCGTGATAAGCTGTACTAACCTTGAAACTGGTTTTATTACGCTTTAATGTGTAGGAGAAACCTAACAACAATCACACTTAAAATTGCATGGGCATTTTCACCTGTGTTCAATAGGGGAAAAAAAGAAATCTCTGAGTCCAATGCAGTTGACCACTTTTTTTTATTAATGCAAGTCTGGATTCACAGGCTTAGTAATGGGGTTCAGACAGGTCTATCCGCCAAGAGCACTTCTGGCATGGTGGTATTTAATACATGGAGCAACTGGACAGAAGGGGAGTGATTAGGGCACGGTCTGGGCAGTGGGAGAAAGGTATGCAGATCCTCTGGGGCTGAAGACTGAATTGAGTTCAGCTCTTGCATGCTCTGCCCGATTCCTTATGTTCCTCTGAGAACATAAACCAGGAAGTGTCCTCCTTACACACCCAACACAAAAATGCAGCAGGGTGAGGGAAACAGTAGGAATCTCAACTATTTCATCCCTCCACAGGTTTGGTGGTTATGACAAAATAATATCTCACTGGGAATCCATGCTTAGTGCTGGCAAGGCCGAGGTACCTCTGAATGTGTGTGAATGCAAAGCTGCTGATGTTGTGGGAGGTTCAATCTAGGAAACGTGAGCTCTGATGAATTGTAAACCCCTTCGAGGTCAGGCTGGGCATGTGAGTTTTGGACCTGAACACTGAAGTCCTGCAACAGTGCTAAGGCGAGCTAAAGGAGAGTTATGTGCTGCATTTACATTGGCCTTAACAATAATGGCATTGTACTGTCATGCATTTAATGCCAATATTGTAATTAGTCATAACTGAAGGCCAACATTTTTGGCAATACAGAAGTAGAATGGGGGCAATAAAGATGATCAGACATGTGGGGCCACTTTCACTTTTTTAATATAATTTTTCAGTCTTGAAAAGGTGTTGATGGATAATACTGTACAGGCATATAGACGTTCGCTGTGGAGAATGTGGAAAGGAAACGATGAGCCACTGTTTCTCTCAGTACAGCCACAGAGACACCCTCCCCCCCCCCCCCC